ATGTCTATATATATATATATATGTATATATATATATATATATACATATTGTTAATTTGCATGTTTTCTTTCTTATTACAGTGCAGTTTCGTGGGAGGAATATTTGAAGGAACAAGCGTTGTACGTCATCGCCGCGCGTCCCAACGTTGGTCCAATAGAATTGAAGAATAAACCATTTACTAAATTCTGATATTCAATACGGTACTTTATATTGCGAATGAGCTAGGATTATTACGGTTTTAAAAGCTGTCGATTGCACGAAGTTTTTATATTATTTTATAAGCATAGGCCTTAAAAATTCAATAATTATTATGTATAATATATTTACGACTGTATCACCGGCTAACTAAACATATACCTTGTTTTTAAACATTACTGTATTATACTTCTGTAATTTATTACTCTTATTGAGTTTTATGCAAGATATTTAGCGCACCGAATTGATTCGTTGTCTTATATTTTAGGTCGATGAATGCAGAGCTAGGCCCACCCAACAATAGTGTGTTAGGTGAAAATCCTACTGACTAATAAAAAAAATCAGAAATTTGTACCAAGCGACGTGCGACGTGCTAGTGTGTTTCTCTCGATAATGATATTATCTCGATTATTTCTCTCGATTATTGATTTGATTTGTGAAAATATACACGATAAATCGTGCTAGTATGAAAACTTCTCATATCTTTTATTTTCTATATGAACAATTGCTTTTTGGGTCCGCTCAAGGCGTTTAGAACGGACTTGCAGGAAATTTTGTACACATAAACTAGAGGTGATTTTCAATAAACGTTTTTTTTTTTTTTAAAGTTGGACCACAGGGTTCCCCCTACACGTACAAAACAAAACAGGGGTTCCAGCAAGTACTGTACTTTACTGCCATTACCACTAATACGGCATGTCGCATGGATGGCGAGATCGGTTAATGATGTGGTAAACAAAACTTTAGTTGTGAGTTCGAATCGCGTCTTGGTATTCAATTGGTTTTTTTTTTTTCAATTTTAAGAAATTTAATTTTTTTAAATGTTTTTTTTCTCTTTTGTGTGGGTAGCACACCTTTATTCAAAAAACCAAGTCATATTCAAATCATATACACACAGCACATGCACACATACATATAGGCTTAATACCCTTTTAAAGATTGTTATACAGTATAGTGTTTTGACAACATATTCGCTATGAATTATAATTGGTTAATAATGTGTTTCCATTTGTCATTTCCTTTTTTTTTTGTTTTTATACAAGTCATATTAAATTATAGATTTTAATTCAATTGTAAAATACATCCAGATGTCCTTACATACAGGTTTATTTAGCTCTTGAAGAATTTTTTGCTTATAAATTGTGTACATCGAAATATCATTAATAATGTTAATGTTACTACCTAAGACAATGTCTTTGTGCGTAATTGTTGGTTTATGTACAAATCTAATTAAATGATGCACATATTTCCATATAGACTGAAAAGCAATTAAAGAACATATGTTCATCATCTTCAATGTCATCACACTTAGAGCATAAGTCAGATTCTTTTAGTTTCCAATAATATAACCTTTTGTTTGTAGGAATAATTTTATGTAAAAACTTAAAATTAAAATTTGAATATTAAAATTATTTACATTTTTAACCTTTCGAAGCCATATAGTTTCCCATTCAATCATTTCTCCACTAGTTCATTCATTTTCCCATTTAACTTGTGCAACAGGACAAATGAAATGAGATTCAATGAAACAACAATATATATTTTTAGATTTCATTTTTGTGATATCTTGTATATTATTAATACCAATCTGATAGTTTACTTTGACATCAACATTTTCTTTTATAATTTGAACCCATTCAGTTGGGACAGCGTTAATAAGTGAACCATATTCACATAGCCAGTTACTCTTATTTTTTTTTATTTTTTTTTATTTATTTAAGATTTCCTTGGACGTCAACATCCTGTTGTTATTGATAATATCTTTTATTTTGACAAAACCAGATGCAATCCAGTTTTTATTAGATGACTGCTGGTTAAACGTTATACACTTATTTCCCCAAAGGTTCTGTTCTATAACATCATTGTAATCGACAACTTCAGTTTAATATTACAAGCATTATATTCGGCAGTGGCCTTGAGTACATTTAAATAAAAAGAAGGTAGAATCCTATCCAAAGAATATTGTCTTATTTTAACGTTTGACATAGTAAAGATAACATCTACTGTACAAACCTTATTGAAATAGTATAATGGAAGTATCTTCCACTTCGCAATATCTTTTTCAAGAAGTTTTCTCGCCCAGCTTATTTTCAGAGCTTTATATTTTAGAAGAAGATCAGGCATATACCACCATTTTTAGGTAAACCAATTTGTCATTTTGTACAAATGAACATTCTAAATAATATTTGTTTTGTACAAATAAACATCCTAATTATTTAAACATTTCTATCTTAGTTGCTCTTCGAAAAAACCCAATATAATAACTTGCGCCTGTACCGTATTTTAGCGTGGAAGAACGCGCACAGGGACGGATTCAGTAGGGGGAATTGCCAGGCCTTTATGATAGGATGTCATAACCTGAACGTTAATTAATTGAACGACGAAGAGCAACTTAAATTAGGCTATGTAATGTGTAACCTTGGTGAAACTGAAGACGAATATAATTTATTTTTAATCTGCCCCGCGTATAAAATAGAAAGGGAGTCTTCCACCTTATTTCTGGACTAATCCAGCACCTTGACTGATTAACTTGCTATGTTTGTCACTCCCCAAGGACATAAGCTATGGAGTAGATAGGTGCTTTTTTGTGGTGTCGACCCTATATACTACCTTAGTTGTAGGGGTGTTTTGTAACCCATATTAATGTTTTTATAATACTATATTTGTGTAATTATTAACTATATCTTACATATTGTTCATTTAATTTACCATTATTCATAATTGATGTGATAATTCTACTGATATGTTTAGAGGCTGTTTCTGGAATTTAGCATTGTTTTATCTGTTTTTAATCGGACCTCTTGGTACACTGGAAATGTTCGAAGTACAGTATTCTTTATTAAGATTAAGATGACTTTAGATTGCTCGACCCGACAGATGCCATATAGTCAAAGTAAGATTAATTTTATATTGTTAGGAATCTAAACATAATAATATAACCTAAATACTAGTTTTACATATTATCTCAAGAATTTTTTTCACCCACCTTTATTTCTTTCATTTTATTTTTTTCTGTCATTAGAGACATAAGCATAACAGAGAACATGAGAAATTAAAAGTCAATTGCACTGAAAAAGGGGTCAGTCGCTATGGCTGACTAGAAATTACTTTTATTTTCTAATTTTTTAATATTTTCAAAAATGTTACTTTATAATGATCTTTTTATTTATTATAAATACACAAATACATATATACATACTTATACATACGTGCGCATGCACATACTTACACGTATATGAATATATAAACATTCTCAAAAACAATCGTGCATAGGAATATATACACGCATCATCATCAAATACACATACATATACAATTTGTTGTTATCTCAAGAATTAATTTTAGAGTTCTTAGACATAGTATCTTGATTTACCGATGCACTATAATTACATTATGGGCCTAATGTTTATCATGTGATCCGACTATACAGTAATAGAATATGAAATAGCCATATATTGTGTCATACAACGTTGATCATTATTACATTAATTGCAGCATAATTATTGTACCAGTTTTATATTATCTAACATTGACCTAATTGTAAAATTATTGTCATGTTGCTTTATGGGTTTGTTTCAGTTCATCGCATGAATAAAATATTTTTGGAAACCATAATTGTCGCCATTGTATTTATTATTGTGGTTGACGCTAACTGGCAGTTAAGCTACACACCAAGTTACGCTTTACTGAAACCAGTACAAGAATAATATTTATATAGTCAGTAGACAATTAGTTCTACTTCTCGTAGGAGTGCATTTGAATAGCTTGGTGATTGTGTTGCCTGCAGTCCGATCAGTTTATTTTCTCACAACGTTACTTTAATTATATTTGCTGGCCGACTTGAACAATTTTTTGAACAGCGGTGAGCCAGAGACTTCTCACACTTTAGCAATCGGTGTTAAAGATGTGCTGTCCCTTAAAAATGACCAAAATCATAAAAAAAAAATCATTTTTAAATTAACTTGCTCATTTTGCAGTAACATACAAATAATTACCTTGAGCATAGAAATTATTAAATTTAAAAAAAATGTGTTCCCTGATTTTTTAACTGGATAATTATAGGCCTGATAAAGATAATAAAACACTTCCAGTGACTGAAAGTGTTTCTATCATTTTTTCGCTGTAAAAATGATGGTTTTTATGGGTAAGCATTTTTTAAATACACTAATTTCTATGTTCAAGCTGATAATTTTTATGTTACTTCAAAATGGGCAAGCAAATTTCAAAAATGATTTTTATGATTTTTTTTGTTTGTTTTTGCAAGGGACAGTACATCTTTAAATATGTAAAAATATGTTGATATAGAAAGCAAGAACCGATCAAAATTGTTAATTAGATGTCATTTAGTAGATTAACTTTCGCCCCCTAAAGTCAGTATTGATTGATGAGGCCCAGACACGCCAGCTGCTGCTATTTGGCGGTCATCTTGTCATGGTACACCGTCCTGCACACTGATCATTCAAAAACCATGAAGGTAAGTTGATTAACGTCAGTTTTTTCAGACTAAATATTTTAGTATTAAAAATAGGGATATTTAATAGGGCATAATCCTTTCTTCAGCTCTGGGGCCACTACACTATGACAGGATGAAAAACTCATTCATATGAAGATTGTTAAAATATAAACGCATTCCAAATTATGAATCGCAAGTAGACCTAATGAAACATATGTTAAATGAATGAAATAGGCCTACCTCTGAACATTATTGATTCATGTTATATTAATGTTTATATAGGGGCATATATAAAGTTTTGGTTTACTTAAAAGAGTGTTCAGCCGAACCACAGAAACCTCCCGGGTTACAGGCCTGAGTTATCATAGGTACATAAAGCATATAATGTCATAAATTATTAGCATTTATAAATGTTTTTCATTTTTTTTCTATCGATTCAAGAGCCAATGTAAACAAGCATTATTACTACTTTTCCTGCCAACATGTATTCTGTACATACGGGTTATGTATTTTTCGAAAAGAAATCCGACATATCCAATTTACAATCGGGACAACGACGTATCATTGGCGGGACACGGAAACGGGCCGGTCACATCACTGAGAGTTCCAGAATTCAAAGAAGAATTCCTACACGGTCTTATTGGAAAACCACAAACAGTAGAATACAAAAACAGAATACCTAGTACGCGTATGACGACTAAATATATTAATATTAGTGATTTTATAGAAAATATACTGATAGACGAAAGTGAAGACAAAACAAATTCATTGAATGTTCTTGATGAAAGTATGGAGAATATAATCAACGATCATTATCCCTAATAGTAAACAGAGGGGAGAAAGAGGCAAAGCACAACAATATCAACGAATATTTACACAAAGGCCTGCAATACAAGCCTGCAATAATGGATGTAAATTTGGAAAGTGTTTTGGATGGTCTCGTTAATGTCTCGACTGGCTTCGTTCATTCGGATGAGCTCGTTGTAAGTTGGAATAAACGAAACTTTTCAAAGACAATGGAAACATTAGCCGGAGTAGTAAGTACAGTATTGGTTCTTTTCCTTCACATCTATCATCAGCTTCAATTCATAT